TTGGTTTGTCCATTATTCAGTCATGCATTCTTAGTTTTTTTTTTGTTCTTTTTTTGTGCTAAATGTTACAGTCTTACATAAGGAAGGTATCCGATGACTCAGAGCTGCCTGGAGCACAGCACTGCTACAAGTTTTTCATCGAGTCTTCGAAAACAGGAACAGTGCTAGGTAAGCCTGTTTACCATCTTACTGCAAAGTCTCCATGAATTACAGTGGAACCATTTAATGTGCCTCACTTCAAGGTTTTCTCCTTCTTCTAGTGTTAAGATTCAGTAATCCATTTAAGATTTTCCTCAGTTTAGAGTTCAGACTCACAGCTTCCCAAAGAAACCATAAATGGGGGTTTCTCCATAGCTGAAGCTTTAGAACTTGAAGAATTTCTATGGCTGTTTCATCTTTCAATCTATACATACATCCAGGTTTTTCTTATACTAAACTGTTCTCTGGGTTATGGAAATATTTACATGTAATCTTTTAGATGGATATCAGCATTTCAGAGGAACATGCTGGTTCCATCTTCAAGTTTGGCCATATATTGTTATAATATGTGTAATGTATTGTTAGAAACCAAGCAGGAGAAATTCTTTAGTACAGGATCCTTATGGTGCTTGTGACAAAAGACTTTCTGCTTGTGCTGTTACAGGTGTCGTTGTGATGGAAGGTTTCCGCATAGTCTTCAACCAAAGCGGAAAAACCATAGGGTTTGCAGAGTCTATATGTGGACCTGCAGTGAGCCTGTCGGGGCCATTTGAAACAGAAACAGGTGCATTGTCCTAAGGTTTTCATGGCCTGTGTTGTGTAGCTTCAGCTTTCAGGTTTTACTGTTGAGCTGTGAACTTACCTTGAACATGGTGACTGCAGTTATATCAAAATGTTGAAACCACTTCAGCATATGATGCAGTTAAACTCTAAAAGCTGAAAGTACACAAAAATCGGTATGGTAGTTATTTCGGTTTAATTACTTTATATTTTTAATTAGTTATGGAAAGAATTTTTTTTTTCTTGACACTACAGCCCCAGTGGGTCTAGGCCTACCTCCATGAACTTCTCCATTCACTTCGGTTTTTCTAGATCTTACACATTCAGTAGGACTCCTTGGGCGGGTGATCAGCTCGTCACAAGACCTCTACATGTACACACACACACAAACTAAACATCCATGCCCTGAGTGGGATTCGAACCCACGATCCTGGTTTCCAAGTGAGCAAAGACAGTACATGCCTTAGACCGCTCGGCTACCATGACCAGCGTATGGGAAGATTGGCTGAGGCAAAAGTATCAAGTTTTTGCCTTCCGTCTGTAGTAACTTTAGTTGTACAGCACCCAAACAAATTCAAGTCTGCACATCTAGTCCAAGCAAATTTGACTGCTGAACCTCTAGTTGCTTTCAGCCTTGCAGCCAGATGCGAGACCTACATGTCTCCTGTATTGACTTGAGAATGTATATGTCACTCTCTCCACCCCACTCCACAATCCATTCCTCTCTTTCAGAAATCGAAGCAAGAAATAACAAAAACTTTTACAGCATAACAGAATGAGGGTTGTTATACTGAATGTGAACTGTACTTATGTGCGGATATATGCCACTATAAGTGGCTGAACTGTATGGATAAGATTGTAATCTCCTTGAAGGCAATGTGGTGTAAAATGTAAAAAAAAAGTAGATAATGCTGTTCCTGTAACAGTCCACGGAGGCCCATAGAGGTGTGAGAGGTCCAAAGCTCCCACATCTTCTAGACAGTCGACTCACAGATGGCGGTAAGGATGTTAGCCCTACACACCGTTTGCCGTTTATCCCCCAGGAATCTTCCTGGTACTCATTTCTTTTAGATGCTGGAAGGATTAGGTCAATTGAAAAAATTCGGTGACCTCGTGAATCAAACTTGCGACCTTCTGACTTGTAGCATAGTACCTCAACCAACTGTGCTACCACTTGCCCCCAGACAATGTAGTGGGCATCAAAATATGTAGTGAACAGTAATTAATTAAAAAAATATTGTAGTGTTTACAGTTCTGTATGACTATTGAATAATGTAGTGAGCTGTAAATTTGTTAGGTGATGTATAGGGTACAGTGTAACCCACATTTAAGGTTTCTGTTGGGAGCAGTTGATCTGAACCTTCAAGTGAGAAGGATCTTCAAAGTGGAGGAAATTCAACACTGGCATTATTGACAAGATCACTAAAATTGAATGTTGAATATGGGGAAACTTAAATCCAGGAAAGTTCTATAGGGATTCCCCTGTATATGACTGTGTTGGAGAGAATCTCAGAAATAATGTAATGATTTTCAGGTCTGATGGTGTGTGTACATTGTATTCACTCTGAAGTTCCTGTTCGTGTTCGTGGTTCAGGATAGCAATGTGTCTGCTTCTTTTGCAGATATAAAGAGCTGTATGAATCCAACACCTCTTCCAAGTGTGAGTCCTTTAACTGTGGCTGCATATGTCATAGCAGGTGGGTTACAGTGGCATGTCCTTTATACCAAGTTTAATGCAAATTTGCCAGAAGTTACTAAAGAGATGTGTATGGAAATGAAAGTGCTGTACTCTTACTTTGTACAAGGATGGTTTGGAAATTGGCTTCCCACCATTCCTGGGCACTTCACAAGGACCATCTGCACAGCTTCCCTGGTCCACTGTGCTTCCTTGGCCAAAGCACCAATCTCCAGTTTACCCACCCCACCACCATTTGATCTCAAAATGGAATTCTATATGTAAACAGTAACTCACTAGCCTACTGTCGTTGAACCCGAAAATGGAGGCAGCATGTACCTCCAGCACATCAGAAACGTCGCCTGCAACTGATGGTCAGCAGCGACGAACAGAACCAGTATCCATAATTAATCACCTTGAAAATCTAAAATCAGTAAATGTAGAGTTAGGTATGTTGTACTTGTTTTCATAGGTAGCACTCAACTTGCATACAATTTGTAACTTTGTGTGTATTTTGTTTACAAAGTCATAAAAAGATAGAACTTGGGATGTTTTGTTGAACGTATTGGCAGCACTGACAAGCATGTATGGTGTTCTGATGGGGTACGTCACATGCCACTGGTTGTGGGAGACGTACGTCAAGCACAAGTTGCCTCGAAGCTCTAGTGAGACCAGCATCTTGAACAGCAACTGACGACCATCTGTGATGTGTACATAAAATGCTTCTTAGCAGGTGGGTGAATTGGCTTCATTTTATTTATATATATACACAGCTCAATCCGCATCTTACATTTGTGAACGGGGGACCTAAACTGAGTGCATAATTCTGGAAATGTAACTTCATCAGAGAATTAAGAATATATCCTGATGTATATATACGTTCTGTGGGGCATGAGATTTGCAGTTGTTATTACTCATTTTGAGCTTACCGTGGCAAGGAACTGTTGAGTGTTAACAGGTTGCATGAATATAAATCATGTAGTAGGCTGTGAATGGGCAAGAGTGTTTTGTTTCAGTGTATCATGTGTGTTCTGTTACTGCTGATAATATTGTCACGCCTTCAAGTGACTACAGACAGGGTTTGGATGGGTAATCAGACTTATTTTATGCTTACAGATCTGTGATTACAAGTAATTATAACAGTTTCACCAGTTCACACATTGCATTTCATTAGAATGCACTGCTGTGCTGTCTCTTCACTGGTCTTCTGGTTCCCCTTCCTCCAGGTTCCTGAACTGTCCCTAGCCTCAGCTACCGGCTTCTCACAACAACTGCTCTGCAGCCATCCTCTCACTCACTCACTACCTCCACTGACTGACCTGTCCTGCTTATAACATCTTGGCACAGACTGGACAGAAAGTACTGTTCCTCCTTTGCTGTTTTGTTTCCATGGAAGCATGCTTGTTTGCACAGCCGTTCCTTAGCAATGGCTGTGGTGTAGCTTCTTCTTTCACAGTTGTTGCATAGCAATGGGTCCACGTGCCCAATATTTTGCTGTTGGTATGTGTACTATATAATGAGGATGGTTTATGACAGACAATTTGTTCGTGTCATTCATGAGAGACGGCATTAAACTTCGGCCTTGATGCATCATTCAGTAACATAAAGGGCAGAAAGGAATATGGGAGAAAGCAGTGCAAGTCAGTTGAATGGAAGCTCATATGATTATAATGGGCTTTGTCTGCAGAATTCAAGTCAGGGGATAGCATTTTATTATGTGGAAGTAGAGAAATGTAATCCCCTGATACTACCTGGTTAGCAGCCATATTTTAACTTGTAGGGGAGAGGGTAAAGTACTGGTGTTGGAAGAGCGTATTGCTTGACCAGCTTTAACGTGTGCGAACTCCGTTGCAGTAACGCAATGCATGGCTGCCAAACATAATATGCAACCATTACAAATATAACGAGATAGTAACAGTAAAATTTTCTCTAATTGAAAATCAGTAATTTGAACAAAATTATTCTAGAAGGAATCACATATATTGAATCTCACAGTCCTTCCTTTCTTTACATCTGGTGTAAATAAGGAAAGTGTAAAGGCAGCATTTTATTAATGTACATATATTTCAGAACTGTGTCACTGTTAATAAAGCAGAACATAATGTAACCTACAAAACACTTTTCAACATGTCCATCATATTGTGCTATTAATTTTGTTCATCCTGCTTTGCCCTGTTAGATTTCATTTTCAACTTTTCTGAGGGTGTCCATTATACTTTCATCTGCATCATGGATCTTCAGCTACTTAGGAATATTGCCAGTGACCTCCACTACTGCTGCAGATGTATTATGCTGTTATTATCATCTTCATTGTCACCAGACAAATATAACAGCAAGACATGAGCCAGTGGCAACATAACACCCTGAAGATAATCAGCCTACAAGTATGAAATTATCAGTACAAGATTGAGGTCTTAGAAAATGTCTACAAATACAAATTAAAGGACAATTTAACTATATTTTTATGATATTTTTAATGGGATCAGTAAAACTTGATGTACAATCATAATAAACATAATACAAGTGCTTGTAAAATCAGTTTTACTGTATTTTTATTCATATTGTCATAAATATATGTAAGAACTTAGTGATGTTGCCAGTTTCATCGGTATGTTGCTTTATATTGTGTTAAACACTAAATGACCACTTAACTGAAATTTTGTATGAAGTATTACTGAACTCAGACTAGAAGATGTTCTTAATTGTTACCCAGTTCTGTTGTAGGTGAGTGAAATGCTTTTGAGATTTTGCAAGAACAATCTTTAACTATGTATTGCTCTTCCTTGCAGCTTGCATTTCTTATTAAACTGCTGTTTGGTTTGATTGTTGCCAGATGTTCCTGGTAATGTAAAAGTCTGGATGTGGTTTTGTATTTATTTTAATAAGCCTCTGACAGAAGAGAAGCTTGAGTTAGTTACAGATTAATAATATAATTTTCTCACTTTGCTTCCCACCATGTGATAAAAAATAATTTTGCCCCCCACCCCCTTTTTTTTGTTCCAGTTCTAGTTTCTTGTCAAGGACATGAACACCCAAAGATAAACTTGCCAATAAGTATGGTAGCCATACTGTTAGCTGTTAAGAGCAAATTTTGTGGTAGAGTTTTTTAATTAAATTCTCTTTCTCAATATTTTTATAATTACATGAATAAACGTTAATTCCTAATTTTAGTGTTATTCCTTATTTGAAGTTTTAGCTACTACAGGTGAGCTGACCAAAGAGTACTTGTGGGCAGTCAGGATAAGGGTGGCTATGAGATGATACCCTGGTCCACATTTTACTATCCTAGTCTACCTGGTGACTCCTCTTTTCTAATGCTGGTGTAGAATCAGTAGTCCGGCCAATAGGAATGGAAGAGTTGGGAGTTAAGTAAGGGGAGCATAGGAAGAGAAGGCAGATGGAGTGGGAGATGATCCATGATAATTTTTTGCCTGGCTCCGCTATATATGGTGATAATTACAAGGAAAGCAGCCATATTCTGCCAAGGAATGGATAATTCAAGTGGGGAATAAACTCTGATCAGACAGTATTGCCTCACAGATTATGTCATCTTCATATTATATAAAATAAACACAAAAATAATTATATATAAATTATTTCTTGATGATAGAGTTTTCCAGTTACTTTTTGATGAGAATCAATTGAGACTGTAGCAGCCATGACTCTCACTGGACACCTCTGAAAAGAATTGAAACCAGGTCCATTGAAAGTACAGTGAACAGTGAAATGAGGATATAACATATCTTTATGGGTTGTGACTGTTGCACTTGTTCTGTGTCTGTATATACTAGGGGGTCCACTTCGTGTATTGACAATCAAGTCATCATCATCGTCCTTTAGCTCCCACTGGGGCACAGGGCATTAACAAAGTGTTGCCACCTCACAGGGTTCTTGCTGAGTTGTTTAATTTCTCCCTATGTCTTCCCAACAGCCAAGGCTTCCTCTCATACTGTTCTCTTTGGCCTTCCTCTTTTCCTTTGTCCTTGTGGGTTCCACTCCAAAGCCTGCTTCTCAACTGCATTTTCCTTTCAAAGAGTATGGCCAATCCAGTTCCATTTACGTCTGGTTATCTGTTCAGTTATTTTTTTTTTCATTTGTCTGTTTCCATAGTGCGTCATTTGTTATTATAACTGGCCATTTCAACTGTACTATACTACGGAGGCACTGATTTACAAAACTTTGTAATTTTCTACTTATTTCCTGGGTGACTTGCCACATCACACATCCATATAATAAAACTGATTTTACATTAGAGTTGAAAATTCTTAGTTTTGTTCTTAATGCAATAGCACTTGATTTTCAAATTTTCTGTAGTTTATTAAAAGCCCCATTTGCTTTAGATATTTTATTTCTTACATCTTCGATACTATCAGCCTCCTTTATAACAATACTACCAAGACAAGGGAATTATCAACATTTTGTATTTCTTTTCCATATAGAGTAAAAGTATTTTTATTATTTTTGAGCATTGCTTTTGTTTTTGCATGATTAATCTTCATTCTAAACTTCCTGGCTTCTCTATTTAAATCACAATCCAGTATCAGTCATCCAATATTGGATCAATTCAAAATACAGTTTTAAAGAAGCCCTGATTTCAAGGGAAGAAAGTAATAATTCATCTTGTTTTCTATATATTAAAAGGGTGACCACATGAAGGAAGATTAAATGGATGAACAAATGTCATGTGTCAGGAGATGAGAAATTCATAGATTTTTTTTGTTTAAAGTCTTTACAGAAAGAGACCTCTTGAAGAGCATAGGTGTAGATGGGAGGTTAAATTTATTGTGAAAGTGAGTTGCAGTCAAGTGGCTGATGACAGAGTCAGCTGGCTGGGCACTTGTGAGCATGTTAATGAACCTTCAGGATTCATAAAAGCCTCAGAATTTTGTGGTTATGGAGAAGTTTACGTTCATATTTCCTGCTGCTTACAATGACATTTCTTCAGTTCCATTAAAACAGTGATATTAAAGATCTAAAAGTTTGTGACGATTGTACATTAGTACACACATTATGTTTCTGGACATTATATATTCTGACATTTTCCAAAAAGACTATATGTTTATCCCTGGAGATAGGGACTAGTTCTATCAATTGGGCCCCACTGAGTAGGTTTTACCTAAAGACAGAGATAGAATGCAGCCTCCAAAACATTGTGTGTTGTAATATAAGCATTACAATGTTCTTTTTTAAACACGGGATGATGAATAATGTCCAGAAACAATAGTATTTGCACTAGTGATATACATTAGTCATGGACGCTTAAATTTTACTGATGTATTTGATACATGGATATGGTTAAATTCTATTTTAGAAATGACCAATTGATGTGGTGCACTGACCAAATCCTACACATATTCACTGACATTCATACAGCAGCACACTATCATATTTATTTGTGCTGAAGTACTCCAAATTTCTAAAGCTTTTTAATCAACTTATATTTATAACATCTGGTAATTTACAAGTTGCCCCATCCTTTACAGCCACAGGCAAATGAGTGTTGAAGTTTTGAACTGCTGTGGCTAACTAAATTGCTGTCTTCTGGGATAAAGACGCCACAAAGTTTGGTAGACAATCGATGTTTTGCAGTAATCTTATACATCTATCTTCAGAACAGCCGTAAAGATAGTGTCAACTGATTCCTCAAAAATGTTGATAAACATCTACCAAACTACACGGCGTCACATACTAGAAAATCATGATCTTATGAGACGTTGAATTCTTTCATATTTTTATTGGTTCCAGAAATCCACATTTTGCAATACAGCCTCCAGATATAGAACAAGTCAAATTATTTGTATAAAAGTCAGCAATACTATAATATTTAACTACATACACACATTGTGTACATGTTCAACAAAATTATAAAACTGTATTAAAAATTTAAGACACCATAAATTCCCCAACAGAGTAACCAGTTCAATCCATTTCACATCACTCAGTCAACCAATCCATTCTTCCTTCCTCCTCAAATCACTGTCATAGGAAAACGTTCCATACACATAAAATATACAATAGTTCAATTTCTATAATTAAAAATAAATACCCCCCTTTCACAAACATACCATCTTTAATTTAACGTATATTCCTCTACAGAATAAAACGTATGTTGTACCAAATATGACCTCATTACTTTTTTAAACTATCTCATTTTTTCTATCTCCCTGATTTTATTTGGTATTTTATTGTATAATTTTATTCCCATGTTCAGTACTTCTTTCTTATAGGCATCTGTTCTGCAAAACTGAGCATGGAGTTTTAACTTCTGGCGTGTATTGTGATTATGAACCACGTTATTTTGTTCTAACTTTTCTAAATGTAGAATTTTAAGAAGGCGATCTTGGGTAGGGGGTTGGGGTAGAGTTTAGGTTTGGTGTACTGTATTGTTTTAGATGAGTCGGAGTAGTTCTACCGCAGACGAAAATTAAACGTGCTAGAATTTCCGTGTTAAAGATATTTTTCGATGTGTCTGACAAACATACGCTCTTTGCTTCCAACCCTATACTCTTAACCTGTGCTCTTAACGATTTTCATGGCCTTTCCGAATGATGAACCGTTCGTAGTTCAAATTTCTACCGCCGTTTGCATTGCGCTATCCTCTTTGGTCCCAGCTTCTGTACGAATGAAATCATCTGTGTTAGTGGAGTGAGACGGAAGGGTGATTTATTTGTGTTTGTGTTGTGTCTGAAGAAGGGCGAAGGTGATTGTAATATTTATACGTTGAACGTATTACGCATAAAGTATGGGTCTTTCGGGATGTTACGCACTAATGAAATACCTGGTGGTGCTTGTGAACTTAATATTTTGGGTGAGTACTATATCTTCATGAGTTTTTAATGTATTCTGCTTAAAACATGCCGTTCATGTACTGTATGGTATAAAAGTGTTATGTGCAGACAATATACCACATATTTATTTGAGAAGATCATATAGGTTTTTGTCTAGTATGAAATACTCGAAGTAATATTGAGAAGGGCCTGAAAAGGTTGAGCCAGTAATGCCTTATTTGGTATCCGTTAGCAGATGACTGTCCACGCCCTGCCATGAAATATATTGGGCGGGTCATGAGTTCGCTTGTGTGGTTTTGGTAGTTTTGGGAAACAGCAAGTATTTTGAAAGTGTGGACCCGTTTTTATTATGTTAAATTATCTGTAGTATTGTAATTTTTCTTACACAGTTGTGTTGCCAAACTATAACGACTTTCTAACTAGAAAATATCTAGATATGTTATTGTATTTTGGAAGGCTTCAGTACTCTAGTTACGGTTATTCTTAGGTTTGACATTTTCATGTAGGCCAGTGTGTAGCCTGCCAAACGAAGTCCTTGGAAGTGGCTGAACTTTTCGGTACTAGCACCGTGTGCATATGTTGAAAACAGCTAAAGTTGTCATGACTTTCAGGTCGTCATTAATTTGCACAAGAAATATCTATCCAACATATTTTTCGAGGCCCTGGCGTATTTATGGAATAGACATTTTCTTAATTTGCCGTCATACAGCCAGGAAAATAGTATTTCTTGTCATTACGTAGTTTTCTTCCAAATAAAACATAAATAAACGGACTCTGAAGCTCCATTACAAGCAAAATGCGTAGACCTAGTGTATTTTTTGTTGTTATTTTAGTGAAGCGTACATTTTTCCAACATGAGTAATTGATGAACATTGTGTTCAGAATTTTTATTTACACAACCGGTAATGCAGACGCCTCAAGTATTCGGAACTTTGGCCTATTTTTTTTACCGCCAACAGTCATGTGCGTCGAGTATGCCGAGCGATTTACTTACATTTCTTTTTACTAAGCTTGCTTTGGCGTGTTGCATCCAGCCAGAATCCGACATTAGATGTAATGTTTTTATGCATATATAGCATAAGCATATTTCTTCCCCAGTTTTCCCAGGGGCAGGATTTCCTTCCCTCCCATTTCCCTGAATAGTGACCACAATCTCGGCCGGTGTACCTTCGATTTCTAAACCGTAACAGACTATCACCCCGATAGGTGATACAGTGCTAACGAAGGTTAGTGTGTGCCATTCTAAACAACGTGGTTTTTTTCTGGGGTCCCTGTCACTACTTTATAAATTTAACACGGAAGCAGTTGCTTTATTATTTTTGCACCACTTATTTAAGTCGATGTATTAGATGAGCTTGCAATTTACAGAGCACCAACACATATGAACTGTTTCGGGAAAATTGCTCAGAGATTTGTGTTTGAGCAGTTCAAAAACATCTTTGCCGATCGCCCTGAATATTTAGGACAGAAAAATCATTTCTAAAATAATTTCAATTTTTAGCTATCAGTATTTGGTATATTTTCACTTTTTTTATCCTTCCCCTGGATGGAGACATCTACGCCCCCATACGCCTTCATGGCGTAGTGCTTAATTAGTCAAGCACAGGGACAACTTTATTTTTTCCCCCCAAAATCTGGAAGGGCAGGCACCTGCCTTCTCTCCCCCCACACCCTGCCAACGCCCGTGGTATTACTAATCAACTTACAGCAGCCCACCTTACAAAGTCTACCCTCGACCCCTCGGTCGGCCAGGCCGCAGCGACTAGCTAGGGACTTGACAACCAAGGTGTCGGGGTTCGAGTACCGGTAGGGCTAAGAATTTTCCCCTCTCAACGTCGTACAGACCAGCTCTGGGTTCCACCAAACGTCTATCAGATGGGTACCGGAGGCTGCTTCTTCGGGGGTGAAGCGGCCGGGGCGTGAAGCAGATGACCTCCAGCTAGTGCCGAGGTCAAGAAAATGTGTATCTATACATCCACTCCCCCCATACGCCTTCATGGCCTAGTGCTTAATTAGTTAAGCGCAGGGACAGCAACAGTCAGACGAAAAAAATACTGCCCCGGAGTTACTGAAATGCAATCTTTAAATGAAGTTAAGCCTGTTAAATAGGTCTAAAAATTGTAAGCAGGACTTGAATATTACATAGATTGTGGACTCAGCATTTAGGGCTAAATGGCAAAAAGAGAAAGCTATCCCTGTAACAGGACGTGGAGGCCCGTAAGGTTGTGAGATGTTGAGGCTCCCACATTTTCTAGACAGTCGGCTCACAGATGGCGGTAAGGTTGTCAGCCTTACGCGCCGGCAGCCCTTTACAACCAGGAAGATTCCTGGTACTCATTCCTGTTAGAGGCTGAGTAGACCCCGGGGCCATAGTGCGGCTAGAAGGATTAGGCAAATTGAAAATATCCACCTCATCGGGATTCGATCTCGCGACCTTCCGGCTTGTGGCATATTGCCTCAACCAAGTACACGTCCGCGTGCAGCAATTGAGGACTAGGCCATTTAACTTCAAGTTTTGTTGTGAGGGAAGTGCCACGTTTTCTCCGTTTTGCTACTTTATGAGGACAGAGAGTTCAGATATGAAAGAGGCAAGAACATATCAACTTTATTTATCGCAGTATTAAAACGAACATTCAGGAAAATAAGTCCGAGGCGTGAATAATGTTGTTAGTT